GTGCGTCCCCCCAGGAAGGAGCCGCAGCCGTGAGCGGGAAGGAGAGACGCGGGGCTCCCAGCAGCAGCAGGGATTCGGCCCGTGCCGCCCACCCAGCCTCTGCCCGCTCCGCGCTGCCCCCACCCGGACCCACCGCGTGCCGCATATGCCCATGGCGGGCTGGGGGGAGGGCAGCGCACGCGGCTGGGGCCTGCTAATGCCCCCGGCCCCTTTGAAACTCCCTTTTTCTTTTTTTTTTTTGCTCCGCTCCTCTCCTCCCTCCCCCTGCGTCCCGATATTTTATGGCGCTGATCTGGTCACCCTACTCGCATCATTAAGAATATTACACCTTTCTCTTAATCTTACAAAGGCCGTAGTGTAACCAGACAGGAGAGGTGGGGGTTTCGGGTGCCACAGACAGGACAGCCTGACCCCGCATCCTTCCTGCTAAAAGTGTTAAAATTGCTGATGCATGTATTGTAAAAAAAACAAGAAGTCTGTTTATATGTGCTCCTGGGAATGTTTGTCAGGGCCCAAAGGCATGGACACTCTGAAAAAAAATATATATCTGGTTAATTGGCAATCATAAGGTGTCTGACCTTTTAATTCTGCTTGCTAGCAAGTTTTCTTTAAGGGATATGTCATTGTATTACTAATGTATAAATAAAGGGGAAAAGTTTGAGGTATTGGACTTCTCAGGAGGGGCATTTCAGGGACGCTCCCTCTGGACTTCAGTCTGCCATCTCCACACTCCTCCCTCCATTTCCACATCACTGGAATACCATGGGAAGAGCATGGAGCAATGTGGTGGCAAAGGATCACACTTGGTATCAGAGACATAAATATTCATATAACCAGTACATTGGAGTACACATTTACTATGCTCCACCTTCAAATTACACAAATAGAGCAGCCTTGCAAACCACCATCATGAGTCTCGTGAACTCAGTCAAGTCATATATTCTTTTTCAAAGTAGATACAAAGGATTCACTAAGGGCAAGTCTACACTGCAGTGCTACATAGGCTGCAACTGCGCTGCTGTAGCACGTCTGGTGAAGACGCACTATGCCGACAAGAGAGCCCTCTCCCGTCAGCATAACTACCTTGGCGAGAAGCGGAAGCTATGTTGGCAGGAGAGTGTCTCTTGCCAACATAGCGCCTTTGTGGACAGCACAAAATTTGCATCACTCAGGGGCCAGGGGGACTTTTTCACACCCCTGAGTGACTTAAGTTAGATCAACTTGGGCTGTAGTGTAGACCTGCCCTGAGAGGAACATGGAAAGTTGGCAGTGATACAGCTGCAGAGTTAAGATGGTTTAGGAAATATTAACCATGAATTTTTGGATTTCTAAAGATAGTTTTTGAACAAACTGTGTTCGATTAAGGGTCTTTTCCCAAAGTAACAGAATGTTTTGACTCTAAAAGTGACCCGCAAAGGGGCGGGAAATGGATGTCTTGCTACTTTATGCTATACACAAATGACCTACAAGGATTTTGTTTTTTAAATCAAAAAAGGAGGTTGGTTTTTTGTTTTTTGGGGGTTTTTTGGTGGGGGGTGAGGAGAGAGGGGTTGTTGTTTTTTAATCACATTCAGAATTCAAGTCTTTTCTACACCACAACGTTCTATAGTGACTGGAACACTTGAGAAAGTAAAATATAAGAATATAAGACTGAAAAAGAGAGCAACTGAAGAGATTTTTATTCAGATTATCTAAAGCTCTTTGATCAAGATTTTCAAAATTGACCAGTGATCTTGACTGCCAATCTTGAGTTACCTTAAGGAGGACTGATTTCCAAAAGGTACTGAGCACCTTGCCTCTAAAAATCAGACCTCTATAAGGCATATCTAGGGAACCTAAAAATCACTAGTAATCACCTATTGAACTCCAGTGACAGAAGAACTCTTGGTTGAAATAAGATCGTTGTTAAAGGTTCAGAACTGACACCAATTCAATTAAGATGTAACAGCTCACAATAAGTATCCCTGAGATCGTCCAGAGGTCTTTGATCAAAATTAAGGAAGACTAAACTTGACATTTCTGTAGGGTTAAAAAAAACAAAAACAAAAAACCCGTTCGGGCTTCTTTCTACAGCATAAAGAAGTCAAAAAAACTACAATTTAAAAAATTCCTTTGTGGGTCACCTTTTACTCAATATTAATGAAGGTTTTTTCCTGCAATTTACTATCAGTTTAATTTACTATATTAACGTTGCTACAAATAAATTACATTATTTTACAACAGCATTTTTGCAGAAACAATAGGATTATTTGTGCTACTAGGGTTTCCAACAGTCTCTTATTACAAGGGATGTCCCTTATTTCCTCATCTCTGTACAACAAGATTGGGAGTTGCTGAGTGCTGCAAAAAGCAGCAAGAAATACTCATGGCAAATGTAGGTGAGTACTGCTTATTATTTTGCTATTATTTATTTATTTATGATGATAATAATTAATAATAATATCAAGAGGTGGTGTGGGGCTGGCGTGCTAAGAAAACAGTCCCTTATTTTTGAAATACAAAGTTGGCAACCCTACAGAAGTCAACAGGTCTGATAGTCATTTACACTACGGCCCCTCTACAGCAATGAAAATCAGGCCCAGCTGGACTACTCACATGAATACAAAAATCAGCAAATGCATAAATCTTTACACGATAAGTATCTTACACATGTAGTGTCGTATTCACTATAGGTCAAGTATCACAATATTTATTATAGGCCCCTGAAATATGTTCTGTAGTGCACACTGGCTATTGCTATAGTTTATATAGCAGTTTTTATCATCACTATGGTTTTGACTTCACTGGGAATTGAGGGCACTCAGCAATTTACCAGGCAAATACAGCCCCTTAAAGCAGCAATTCTCAGCCGGAGGCATGTGTATCTCTGGGGGTACTCAAAGGTCTTCCAGGGGGTACATCAACTCATCTAGATATTTGCCTAGTTTTACAATAGGCTATGTAAAAAGCACTAGCAAAGTCAGTACAAACTAAAATTTCATACAAACAATGACTTGTTTATACTGCTCTATATACTATATACTGAAATGTAAGTATAATATTTATATTCCAATTGATTTATCTTATAATTATATGGTAAAAAAGAGAAAGTAAGCAATTTTTCAGTAAAAGTGCGCTGTGACACATTTGTATTTTTATGTCTGATTTTGTAAAGAAGCAGTTTTTAAGTGAGGTGAAACTTGGGGTATGCAAGACAAATCAAACTCCTCAAAGGGGTACAGTAGTCTGAAAAGGTTGAGAGCCACTGCCTTATAGGATCAATCCTCTAAATAAGGATACTACATAAGTTGTTTGACACAGGTTGTTCACACTATAGCTCCATTACACAATGTGAAGTGCCCACCTGTCAAATTACTGTGAATGGTGCCATACCAGTCATCTGTTTGGAAGATAAGAAAATATGCTGTATATATGAATTAAGTCATTAAAAATTGCACCCTTGAATTCCTTTTTCAGATTAAAAAAGTGTGAGGATACTGGTTTATCACTTTAACTACGTGTTTCTGTGAACATACCAGTGCTTTAAAGTAAACACCAATGCCAGTTTGTTATGACTACTAAAAGCAAAACATCTCTCCAAACTAGTCTGTACAATGGTGGGAATAGCCTTCGATTCAGTATCGTAATTAGTAATGGATACTGAAGAAAAAAAAACCTAGAAGAATATTTCAAATGGAGTTAACAGTTTGGTTAATCAAACCCCAAGGCTGTCAGACAATACATTCGGTGGCTTTGTTCAGATCACTAAGGGGGTTTTTCTTCAAGTGCCACAAATTCCATCAGCCACCCAAAATTCACAAGATTAAAAAAAGGAGCAAAGACTCCAGCTCCTGTATGTTTTGGTTGCTGATGTGGAAAGATAGGTGCAGTTTTACTAACAATGGAAGAGCTTTGCTTTCCTATAGCCAAGTTCTTTAGTACTAAAAGGGAAGATTCTTAATAAGAGCCAGATTCTGCCTGGCTTTTATGTGGGTGCACAGTAGAAGTGGGGAGAGTGCAAGGAAATTTCCTGCTCTTGTGAGGCCCACAGCAGGATCAGGCAGGACATGTAGTGATCATCTTGTACCTGTTGACCTGGATGCACAAGGGGAGGTGGGCCAAAGTTCTGAATGACACAAGAGGCAGCAAAAAACTATAAGGTCTATTCTTTATTCTCTTGGCTTTCAGAGACACTTACCCCTCACTGCTCCCACTGAAATTAATGAGGGCTGCAGGTGCTCAGACCATAAATGTCCACAATTGAATCACTTTCCCTGTTTCCTCAAAAGTACCTTCAGGTCAGCATTTTATTTTTCTAGTATATAGCAGGGAGTTTGGAGATCTCCTGCTGCTCTGTAATTTGTGTCACGGGAGGACAGATGCTTTGCTGTGAGATTTTTGGATTAGAAGCACTGTGTAATGTGCTTTGTAAACAATTAATTAAGCCTCTTAACATCCCTATGAGGTAAGGAAGTGCAGCTGAATCCCCTTCATCCTTTTGATAAACTGAGGGTTGTAGAAGATAAGTGATTTGCTCAAGTTCACATAGAAAGTCTGTGGAAGAGGAAAAAACAGAATCCAGGTATCCAAACTCTGAATCGCCTGTTCTAAACACTAGACCTCACTACAGACAACGCAGCCAGCTTAATCCTCAGGAGGTTAAAAAAGCAAGTTGCATATGAAAGGCCATATGAGTGTTTTAATATTATACCATAGTAACAAAATATATGAAGGAACTGTGATATCATCATGCTATAAAAGCCGTTCATCTCTAGAATCGCTGTGGAGAATATCAGCATCATGCCACAACACATAGCATCGTTTTGTGCTGGTGGGTGCAACCAAAATGGAGAAACTGAAACTAAGGATTGTCTTTTAAAATAAAGTGCTTCTGCATGGATCCAGCATACAACATGTATTTAGCAGGGGGTGTGGCAATAGAGATCATGTGACATCACTAGATTACAAAATGTTCCCTAGATTATAGTTTATAAATTGTGAAGAGAAGGAATTTGGGTTACCAGTGAATAGCAGAAGGCTCTGCCATGAACCTCAAATGACTGGGGAGTTCTCAGATGGAAGCTCAAAGAGATGGAAAGATCTCCTTGTTTCTACAATGCTAACTACTCCTGATGAGGATTAGAGGCAATTAGGCGAAGTTGTGCATGCTTCAAAATCAAAGTTTTCATCCTTTGGATTTCACAGCTGTTATGCATCCTGATGTCTGTAAAACATAAAAGTAAAGCAACAGAGATTTTTTCTCACCCGTTATTATTAGACACAGAAAGATTTTACCTATGACAAATTCAGCTATTTTGAATTTGTTAAACAATATCAAGAAGCAGCTGTGTGCTTCTGGGAATATGCCCATTTTCAAAAGACTGATACTAAATGCATGTCCTTTTCAGTGTCTCTGATCTGGAGCCCACTTCCAGCATGGTGAGGAAGGATAAAATGGAATTATGCCAAATGTACCAACATAAACCCTCTGAATTCACAGCAGACAATTAAAATGAATGGGGAAAGGGACCATTTCCATCTTAAATGGCAGTAAAGGAAAAGCTTGAAGAAACAAAACCCCCCACCTCATACACCAAAGATCTTTCAATCACAAGTCAGTGCGCAGCCTGCATAATATCTGGGGACGTGTGACCAAACCAAAATCAAAAATATGCCTTGTAAATGGTGTTTTGAAAAATTGATACGTTCTTGGCTCCATTCCAACTCTTGTTTTTGATAGTCATTCATTTAGGATTAAAATGAAAGTTATAATGCCTTCAGTCATAAAACACTTTCAACCTAAAATACACATTATTCAATACCAACATTCTAAATTACATTATTTATCAGGGATGGTTTTGTTTATGAGTCCATTGCAGGTCTGAAGATTCTGCAGGAGGTTTTGATTCAATTTTCGTGCATTTTAATTTTTGACATTGACACGTGAAAAGGTTGAGATTGAGAAGGATGAGGATATGGCCTTCCCTGCCTTCAAAATGCATAAAAGCTGAAAAGTAAGTCAATGTAAGAACAAGAAAATCATTATCTGTGTGCACGTTAAGAATGAAGCAAAGATTATGGGATTTAGGAAGCTACAGGCTCATGGTAAATGTATTTTTGTTGGTTATAGTGGCATTTAGACAAAAGGTTTCAGAAAAAATTCACAGGATTTTGTTACACTATTTCTAGAAGAAATACAGCTAGAAGAATTACCAATTCAGGTCAAAAACTAGTCAGAGACAAACCAAACTGATTCCTACATTTGGATCAAATAAATCATGAGAAGTATGGCTGCTTATCCAACCCTTGAAGTCTCTCTCCTCTTTTCTTCCACAGTCTTTGTCTCTCAATCTTCCATCTCATTCATACATCCCTTTGCCCTCCCAGTACCTTTCTTTCTTTCTAAAACATGCACCAGAAATTCCACAACACCTTTTTCTCCTGACCATAAATAGGTGTCACATATTGGGTCTTTGGAAGAGGGATGTGGCATTGCATTCAGGAGAGTGGTATCCCTCTAAACTCTCGAACCTTGTCTATGCTGGAATGAATACTAGTTTAACATGCATTAGAGTTTCTGCAAGCCAGAGATGCTCTAGAATTAACCCAGCCCCAGCCTTTGGAGATGCTCTAGAATCAAAGAAGGACCCAGTCCACAAAAATTCAGATTCACCTCTGAATCTGAACTTTCTCAAATGTTTAAGTTGCTTGGCTCTGGAGTTTTGTTTCAAGCTGGAATTCTACCTGGAATTCACATGATTTGAGGATAGAATTGACAACAGATATCTATCATACTGATTCATTTGCAGCTGGTATTTCTTAATGTGGAAGAGTAGCTACTTCCTCCTACCAAAGCAATTATCTGTTTTGCAGGATAGATGGTTCAGCAGATAATAATGAGCTGTTGCGGGATCCTTTCATCACTTTGCATTTAGTCCATGTGGGTTGTAACTTGGGTCCTGTTTTCAAAATTGGGCACCAAATAATAGGCACCTAAATCCATAAGACACTTTAAATGTTTGAGACACTTAGTAGGCTGATTTAAGCATCTGGATACTGGAGTTGGTCAAAAAGATCTCACTGGAACAGTTTTCTGTCCAAAAATACAATTTCATCCTAATTTAAATGTTTCATGGGAAGGTGTCAATTTAGACAAAATTTTAGACAGGAAAGTATCAAAATGAATCATTTCAACTTTCTCATTTTGTTTTGATAAGGTGATATTTCATTTCTACTTTATCATGTTGTCTTAAATTATATTAACTATAACATTAAATTTAATAGTTGAATCATTTGTGTATTATATTTAATAATATATTTTGACATAAAAAACAAAACAATATAATGGCTTCAGAATTTCCATTCTGCATGAAATTTGACTTTTCATTCAGATTAAAAATAAAAACAAATTTCAAATGTCATAATTTCCCACAGAATGGAAATTCTATTTTTTGACCAGCTGTACTGCATACCTACTTAGAAGTGTAATTGAGCAGATCTAATTTGACGCAAAGATACCTAACAGTAGATTTAGGCCACATTTGGGGAAGAGCTCAGCATGCATTAGCTCCATTGAAAATAAGGGGAGATGTTGGGTACTGAACTCTGGCCACCTGATTTGAGCCAAGCATGAGCTCAGTTCTTTTTGAAAATCTGACCCCAGTTGAGAATGCTGAGGTCTTTGGAAAATCTGTCTCATTAGGAACAGAGTTTTGAATCTGGTACCTGTTTAGTGGCTTACATAACATGAGGAGGCCTTCTCAATGCAGTTCCTAATGGAAAGTTATCCCTACCACAGAAGCATAATCAAAATTAGCATTCTTGTTAGGAAATCTCATCATGGAACCCCAGGGATGAAAAAGACATGAAAATTGACCTATCCTATTATCCTTGGGCCTTGTCTACACAGGTAGACTGACCTGAATAACTATAGTAGAATAAACTCACACAGTGCAGTAAATATTCCAGAATAAAATCATTTTTACTCCAGAATAAAAAGAATCCACATTGGAAGCTATTCTAGAATAGCTACAGTGAAATAGCTTATTCCGCTATAGCTATGCCTGTCAATTTCCCAGTGTACACAAAGCCTTACAGGTGATCCCTTCCAGCCAAGTGGAGGCAACTTTGTAGACCAGTGCACTGTCACTAGCCATGGTGCACCTGACCCTGCTGTCAGCCCAGCTCCGTGCATCAGCACAAAATTCACTTAAGCTAAAAAGAAAAAAAAAATGCTTGTCACCTTCCATACTTGTCTAAAGCACTGTCGTTGACTAGGCAAGTGCCTGAAGTGAAGGTCAGTATGGAGACTATTCAGTGACCCAAGACCTAGTATTTGCTGTGGAAGAAGTTTACTGGGTTAAAATTTGCTCCTGATCTGATGTAGCACAGCTTAATCATTACTTCTCAGTAATTTGATTGATGAAACAGATTCCAAATGCCTTTGAAAAGACTATTTATTTATCCTGAAGCCCAGCTCCACTTAAATCTGCTTTAAAAGCTCATTTTTTATCTTGTGCATTAAAATATATTTTCCTCACCATTTGCAAGAATTTGTAGGAGTCTTGCCCATTTCCTTCAGAAGTCATCAGGGTGCAATAAACGGAAACCATACACAGTGTGTCATTGTGATTCTAATTCCATTAACAACTTTATTTCAACAGAATCTCTGGCCCTCCATATATGTGTTTTTAGATTCTGGGTTTTTCTGCCTGGCATTACTATTAAATATGTGCTCTTATAGCAGTTCAGAATTATTGCACTCAAAGGGGAAAAACTTCAGTGGAAGGAGTTGCAATCAGCAACATTCCAGAAAAAAGGGAGAAGGCAGGAGTATTTAATAGCTTTTTCATATTGGTACTTGCTGTATCTTCAGAACAAACATATATGGAAATTTAATCAAGACTTTTTCAGACTTCCTGCTTCCTTTGCAACATTTTCTCCTTTTAAGGCCTGTGTACTGGAGAATACATTTAGCTCCCTGTTAATTTTCCATCTTAGATCACGCTATCCAAAGGGCATTTGAAGGACAACTGTGCCAGTTTAGCTCAGCCCAGCAGTACAAAATTGTATGGAGTAAGAAGCTCAGTGAATAAACTGTGACAGGTATTCTTACACTTTTAATTATAGCTGGCATTTCTGAGTTTAGAGCTGGAGGCACCAATTGAAGGGCAACTGTGCCATCTTGATGAAAAGTAATGTTATTTGTGATGTCACCATGAAAGGCCAATACCAATGGAAGTCTGTGTCTACAATTAAAAAGTTGCTGTGTTTGATGCCAACTTTCCCCTCTACCTATTTTAGTGTCTGGCTACCTATCCCAGCCCGACCTAAAACTAATGTTAGAAGTGTTGTTCCATTGTGCAGACAGGACCAACAATGTTCACCCTCCCTTGTATTATATAATAGTGTTGTCAACCCCTCCTAGAACTAGGGTTTGACCATGATTGCTTACAATCAGATTTGAACTCACCTGGCCCTTTCTCCAAGTGGAACAACCATTTTCCAACAGTGACTGGAGCCATGAGACAGCTGTACCCGACAATGAGTGTCCAAAAGGGCACTGTTTCCTAGTGCAGTTATGGCCAAAGAGACAATAAGCCAGTGTCAACCTTGATTTAATAATAGTTATGAATCATAAACTGAGTGCTAATTTTTAAACAAAAGTGTTAGCTTCTTCTCTCTGTAAAGCAGCTTGGAATCTAGTTGACGCACACTTCTGCGAATAATGTCACCAGCTATTCAGATATGACTGGATATAAATAGCTATGATGACTGGGTAGTTTAGACAGATTAGATAAACTTTCAGAAAAATCGCTACTTCCACCTAGACTCAATCATTATTGTTCTTTGTATTACAGCAGCACCTACAGGCCTCAACCAAGATCAGGGCTTCATTGTACTAGGGGCTTTACCCGTCATGTTAAGAGACAGTTTCTGGTCCATAGAATTTACAATATAAATAAACAAGACAGACAAAGTGGAAAGACAGACAGACAGAAAAGAAATATGACTATCACTAGTTTACTGATGCAGAACTGAGGTACAAAACGATTGAGTCACATAGGAAGCAGGGGTGCCAGAACAGGGGGTGGAGAGGAGGAACAAGGGGCCATGGCCCTCCCACTTTTGAAAGTGGACAGGCCTGATCTGTCTACTTTTTGCCACAGGACCGGCACCCTGCCCCTCCTATTCAGCCCACGAGACCCCATCCCCCCGGCCAGG